GTCCAGAGGTTTCCTGCAGGAGTTGAGGCCTGACCTAAGCTTTCAGGGAAATTTTTTTTTTAATATTTTTATTTATTTCTAGGAGAGAGAGATAGACAGCGTGAGCAGGGGAGGGTCAGAGAGAGAGGGAGATACAGACTCTGAAATAGGCTCCAGGCTCTGATCTGGCAGTCAGCACAGAGCCCGACGCGGGGCTCGAACCCACGAACCGCGAGATTATGACCTAAGCGAAAGTCGGACGCTTAACCGACTAAGCCACCCAGGCACCCCGAAATTTTTTTTTTTTAACTTAAAAATTGCTGAGGCATCTAGGTGGCTCAGTGGGTTAAGCATCTTTGGCTTAGGTCATGATTTCACTGTTTGAGTTCAAGCCTTGTGCTGGGATCTGCACTGACAGTGTGGAAACTGCTTGGGATTCCTTATCTCTCGGAGCTCTCTTTCAAAATAAATAAATATACTTAAAAATTGCATTATAAAAATTACATATGGTTCTTATAAAAAACAATAAAATAATATATAACTCCCTTCTTTCCATCTCACTTCCCCAGGATAACCTCGACAAAATGTATGTATAAACAAACACATCCAAACCACAAACAAAGCAGATTCTCCCCCCGACCCCAAATCATTCCATGTGTATTGGCTTGAAGGATTTTGAACAGTTATTCATCAAGTATTTCTGTGTGTCTGTGGCTTGGTGTGTTGCTATACTAGTCACTGAAGGTAGGGAAATAAGGCTTGCTCACCTGGCCTAGAGAAACATGGCTGCTGTATGGTTGGGCTGGTATGCTTGCTCCAAGAGCACCTGCCTGTGTCCTGTTGTCCAAGCACACGCACTGGCTACTTGCATCCAGGGTAGGAGCCCTGAAGGGAGGGATGCCTTTTGGTAATTAAAACAAAGGCATTGGCCTCCTGAGAAAGTTCCAGCTTACTAGTGGAGCCAGAGAAGTGAATAGACTAATCTTGTAGCGAGGCTGGAGGGTAATCCAAGGCCATGTGGGCAAGGAGATCGAACTCAACACCAAAGGAGCATGACTGTGGGACCAGGATTTCTGGGAACTTAGGTAAACATCTGGCTCCTGCCTCTGGGAGCTGACACTTGAGATAAATGTAAACGAATGAACAAATGGACAGGGAAGATGTGCTGGAGTGGGCAATACAGCTGGTATTTTAGATACTTTGTACTGTCTGTGGACATGCTTGGTCAGGCTTTCTGATCAGTGTCCTTCCTCTGATCAAAACCCTTCCTTGGTCTGTCTCTGGTCATCTTCAGGAGAAAGAAGACCTAACTGTTTTGGAGGACACCAAAGGAGAGCCCTTTGAGATATGACCACTACCCATCACTGCAGCCCCATTTCCTGACCCCTTGGGTGCTCCAGAACATACATGGAGCCTCTGAGTCCTGAAAGGATCGTGGCGTCTGTGCTCTGCAGTCTCTTTGCCTGGATGCCCCCCATGTCCTCCTGCTGACTTGGTTCCCACTGCCTCCCTCTCTGTCCAGCTGACTCTTAGATGGTTTCTGACCATGGTGATGCTGCCATGGTGATGAGGTTTGGGGATTTCCTCCCAAAGACCACCTTTCATCTTTCTTTTAGTTTAAATGAATTGGGAGCAGCCCAGCTGGTGACATACTTTTTCCTACTCTTTTATTCATTCCTGAAACTTCATAGGCAGCAGGAGGTCCATGTTACCCAATGTGGATCTCAGAGAGGGAAGACATATTGAGCATTTGTACAAATTAAACTTTACGTGCAGTGACAAACCATTACATGCTCTGCTGAGGTAGAAAATGACATTTTTCTTTAAGCTCCGTTATGTTTGAAAGTTATTTGAATAATAGTATACTTGTACATCCAAATCAATTCCTCGTTAGGATTACTCTATACTTTTGAAACATAGTCTTTCAGGACATACATATTTAATCTTGGTGGAATTATTTTTCCATTTGTTGACACCATTCAGCTTCAGTGTTCAGTTGTAGCCAGAATTAGCATGAATGAGCTCCTAATTGTGTTTTGTGAATCAAAACCTAGAAAAAAAAAGCCTTAAAAATTTGCCTCAAAAAGAAAATAGACTTCTTATATCTGGTGCCTTCTGGGTACCCTGGAAATCCTGAGATTTTTGGCTGAACTGTTTAGGTCATTTTTGCCAGGGTTCTCTATGAATGATGGATGCATTTTCCTTCCTGGGCATGGAGGAAGGTGAATGATGAAAAATGGTGACCTTGCTGCTTGCAAGAGACCCTTTCATCTGTTCCTTTTGCTCCTTCTCCTGCTGTGAAATTCATCAGGTGTGCACTGTCCTAAAGGCTGCTAAAACCCAAACAGTAAAAACCTAGTAAGCCAGACCACAGGGAGCTACCTACTTGCATTCAATTGTGTTAACTTCTACTAATGTGCTTTTTCTGCCTTGCTCTTGGCTTCCTTTGATGGATGGTATAAGAAACGGGTGGGTGAAATCCTCTAGGGTATTTATTGTAGCTTGTTGGTGAAGATATTGTCCACTAAATCAGTGGACCTTGTTTGAAGAGCCACATGAAAAATTTAAGGCTTGAGTAGAAGAAAGGCATTGTTTCATCTAGAAAACCACTATGCTTTATTTTTTGTGGACAGATTCACTTTTGTAATTGATTGTCTTGCTTTGGCTGCCAGGAAACTCAGAGACGTATTTGCAGTTCATTTTTTTTTTTTTTTAACCAGTGTTTGACCATGTGAACCCCTTATTTATTTATGCTGTCCTTGTTTTATCTTTCTATTGTATTTATACTTCTTTTGTGGTTTTATGTGATATATGTATATAGTCATATCCGTAGCTCTAGCTCCTTCTATCAAGCACACAGAAGGAGTAGCACCCAATAGGGTGCTGGCAAGAGACAAGTATTTATATATACTTATTCTTTCGCCCCACTGTACCGTCAGACCTGCTCTGTGGACCATAGTTCCTTGCATCATGAATGAAATTGCTGTGAATTTCCATAACTTCTTTTGTTACTCTTAGGGACTAACAGCCTTTATTGATGTTCAATCTCAAGAACAGTCTCATCTTAATAATTACAATGTTCATTCCAGAGCAATAAGCAAAATTCAGAACTTTCTTCCAGGTTAGACTGCTTCAGCTTTGAGCCTGCTTTGGGATGGGAATCTTGTTGGGGAGTGCAGTGTAGGGGTACAGCCAGCGTCTACCATCAGCATCTGTTTATCCCTGAATTGCTCTTCTAACCACCCCTACCCACATCCCCAGACTGTCTCTTGCTTCTTCTGAGTTAAATATAAGATAAGGGGTAGGAAAGCTTACCTGAAAGTTTTTGCTTACAGAGGTTGCCTTGTCCTGAGATAGAAAGCAATTTTGGTCTTTTCAGAATGACCCATTCATCGTCCGTAATGAAGCCCAAGGGATGAAATACAACACACATTTCTGCTCCACTGTTGGGTGAGGGCTACTTCAAGCCAAGTCTCTCAAATACTTCTTTAGACCTAGGTGCCACACCTGTTTTGGTACCTGTCACACACCAGTGGCATAAGTCAACCTTCCCAAATGATTCCTCTAAATGCCCTTTTTAGATTTTCTTGACTTCACAGTTTGGCTCTGTGCCCTTAGAGTGCAACTCTGAGGTTTAGTGAAAAACCTAAAGATGAGGGCTAAAGATGGTAAGACTCCTCGATACCAGCACTATGTCCCAAAGGGGTAAGGGAGGGAATAGTGTACTTGTGAAAGACAGGCTTCTGGACAGATGTGGTGGCTCAGAGGAATGAGCCAGGGCCAGAGCAGTGGCCAGGTGGGGGGTATGTTATAGGTTGCATTGTGCCCTTTCTTCAAAAACTATGTTGAAGTCCTAACCCCCAGCACCTGTGTATGTGATCTTATTTGGATATAGGGTCTCTGCTGATGTAATTGAGTTAAGATGAGGTCATTAGGGTGAGCTCTAATCCAGTATGACTGACATCCTTATAAAAAGAGAGACCCAGACCCATAGAAGATAATGCCAGAGTGCAGATGGAGGCACAGATTAGATGCATCCATGAGCCAAGGAGCACCAAGGATGGCAGGACTACCGGCAGTAGGAGAGAAGCATAGAACAGGTCCCACTGATACCTTGATTTTGGACTCCCATCCTCCAGAACTGTGGCAGAATACAGTTTTGTTGATTTAAGCCATCCCATCTCTGGTAATTTGTTATGGCAGCTCTAGGGAACCAAACAAAGGTGATGGAAAGATTCCTCCAGCTCTGTCCTCCTGCCTTCTTCTCATGATGGTGCCTCTCACTGGCCAGACCCACCTGGAAACCAGCCAGTGAAGGAGCAGCTCTTTTGTCCCTTGGGTTAGTCTCCAGGCAGAGGGCAGGGCAGAAGATGCAGGGAGAGTGCTCATAAGTGGGGAATAATTGGCACAGCCAGCTCAGCTTTTGGGATCAGTCTTTTTCAAGTTCAGAGTCAGGGGTTGCAGGAGATCAATCCCTGAGACGCTGTGGAAACTGCTGTCTAGACCTCTTTTTCTGCCCTTTGGGTTTGGTTCTTTTGTGAGCACAAGCAGGCTTGAAACACAGCTGGCTCCTCAAAACTGCATCTTGGATCAGAAGTCGGTTTTCCCAGGAGAACATTGTTACAACAGGCGAGGAAGTGGCATATGCATGCTGAGGAAGGCGATGATGTACAGGCTAAAAGGCTGGGGAACAATAAACATGAAACGCTGTTCAACCTCATTTGTAAGCAGACAAACTCAAGTCAAAACAGCACTGAGATGAATCCATTGTCACCCTTCATGTTGACTGGCTCTAGGACTGGCAAGGGTCGGGAGAAAGGGTGTCCCTTCACTGCCACTTGTTGGGCTGGCTGTGGATTCAGTGAGGTGTGGAGACCCAGCTCAGTGCTGGCATATAGTAGGTGCTCAGCAAGTATGATTCCCTTTCTCTTACTGCTGGCTCTTCCCCCACCTCCCTCCTGACTGGCATTGTGAGGAATATGACATTGACCACTCAAGTTGCAGTATCAGTGCATACGTGCAGAGGACTTCTTTGCCACACACATTCACCTTTACTTGCGCAGGGGCCATGCTAATCTTCTCTGTATCGTTCCAATTTTAGTATATGTGCTGCCGAAGCGAGCACCACATTCACCTTTACTGATGGAAACTCTTGGAGCTTTCACACTGAGTGTTGTCAGCAGTACGGACAGCTGGGGCAGAGTGAGTACTACATGGGAAAACTGACTGAATTCAGTCACATGGGTCTTGAGAGAAGTAGCAGGACAGGTTTGGAACCGATAGATAAGAACATTTGCACTGTATGACAGCTGCACCAGAATTGCAGTCCCGTTTAGGACACCCATGCAAGTTTGAAAGGTATGGCTGTTTTCTCCCCTTGCCATCCTGCTGTCAGTCTTGGGGATGTTCTTGAATGGTCCATTCCTTGCTCTGCCCCCCTCAGAGTCTTGGTCTCCATAATTCAGGAAGACTTAATCTTCTCTCTGTTTCAGTTACCTGTTCTCATGGGCATGCCCTGGTTCTTCTTGGATCTCCTCCACTCTGATGTCCTGCATGGTGGTCACTACTTTCCACAGCTAGTCACCTCTATCCCAGTCTGCCCCAACCATCACTTAAATGTCTCTCTTGCCAATATCTTCCCTTCCCTTTATCTAATTGCCCTTAGGTGCCACCCATGCAGCGACCACCCTCCACATTAGGTCAGTCTGGCTCTCTACCTTCACCACTCCATTGCTAGGCTGCCAAGCACTGTTGGGTACACACAGTTTTGCATATTGGGCCACCAGAAACTTCTGGTCCATTACTCGAGTTAAGTGCTCAAATCTGCACAGGAAGATCATGTTTTCCTGGCAGTGCTCTCTTTCTTCCTCTCAAAAACTCATCCACACTTTATTCTCTCTAAACCCTCTTTGTCAACACCTCTCCTTTCACTGTTGGGGATTGATGTGACCTCCCACTGAGATGAGAAAGTAGACACTCAGAAGGGGGTTTTACTCCGCCTTCCAAACCTACCTGCACCACCACCAGCTTTGTCTCTTTCCCTCTGGTCTCATGGGGAAAAAGTGGTATAGGGCCACTTGATCTAGCTGGGTCTCAATTTCCTCTTCTGGTGTTTACATATTCTGTTCCCTCTACCTGACCAACACCATTCATTCTTCTCAACCTCTTGGAAGGATCCTTTGATCACCATCAGCCCCTCATCTCCTCATTAGTCCCAGACTCCTCAGTTTCCCCACCTTTAAGGTCACCAACCCCTACCTTATATGACTTCAAAGCTCAGGGCATGAGACCAGTGGAGGCCAGGGCTGGGGTGCGTTAGTGTTCTCAGCTCTCCACTTCACTCTCATACCAGGTTGGCCCTGCACCAAATTTCTACCAGGTGTGCCTTAGAAACTTGGAACCTAGGGAGAAGTTGAGTTTTCTGAATTGTCATCAACACTGACCTTAAAAAAGAGTTCATTTAGAAGGAAAGAGGATTTATCTCTCAATTTCATCCTGGTGAACTTCAGATGGAGAATTGTGTTTTGGAAGCTTGTTCTTTGTAAGCTTATTACAAAAATAATACAGCTACATAATTGCAGAAGGAAAATGAAATTTTATTCTCTTTCTGTGATAACCTTGAGGGAAAATAGAAGCACACAGAAAATTCTCTACTTAGGAAAAATAACCAGAACCTCCCCAAAATGCTATGTAATTTAGTTGTGAGGTGCTTTGGGGAAAAAAAAAGCCTATTTATCTTAAGCCCCTAAAGAAATATCTTCATGGGGAGATTATCCCATTGAAATTTATTTTAAGGAATTATTTAAAGAACATTGGTCTTCACCACCCATTAATCAGATTTCATTTGATATAACTTTGGTTTCTCTTTAGTTATGGGTAATTATTTTAAGACTGCTGATTGCCTGCTATAAAGGATTGGATTTTTATGTTATAAAAACATTTCAAATGATCTATTGGTCTGAACACTGTCAGGGAGGACTGGAAGAGTTCTGGGAGGCAAATTGCTTTAAAGTAGATTGGGCTTGGTGTGGATTGTGACAGAGAAGAATGAAGATGGTGTTGCTCTGGAGGTTTGCTTCAGAGGCAGACTCTTCCTCCAGTGTGGCAGAGGTCTCAAAGGTGGTGGTGAATTGGATTGAATCTTCAAGTCCACTTTTGGGGAGGCCTATAATCATGGCTAGCTGGAGAGAACACGGGACCTCCCACACCATGGGCTTCTCTGGGCTTTTCTATAGTGTCCTCCCCAGGGGCCTAGAAAAAACCCAGTTGGACAAATCCTTATGTGCTCCTAATGTTTTCCTCTGCTGAGAATCATGCTGCCTACTTTTCCAAAGTCAAACATCAAGGCTAACCTGAAGGACAAGCAGACAAGAGGGTGTTAACATAGGGAGAACCCATGTGGTATAGACAGTCATAAGCTTATATCACTCTAATCCAACATGGTGGTGAGACCTTTAACAAGTTGCTCAAAAGCTTCACGCCTCAGTTTTCTCACCTGTGCAATGGGAGAAATAAAAACACTTGCACATTGTAAAGTTGTCCTGAGCAATCAATGAGATGATGCACATGAAGCATTCAACTCAGTACCATAATAGGTACTCAATGCACATCATTATTCTTAGTATCTGTTAACTGGGCTAATAATCGCCATCTCTGAGGTTGTTGTGACAATTAATTGACATCACCTTGGTGAAGGCCTTACAGTGTTGGGCACACAGCAAGCACTCAATACGGAATAGTCATTAGTGTAAGTAATGTAACTGTTCAACCCCCCAGTCACCTCTGTCCCTCTCATTTTTGCTTGTGTTGCCCAGCCCACACTTGCCTCCATTTATTCCCCCAACTGTCCAAGTCTGTTCCCTCCTCTCCTGTCCTTTGCCTCTGCACTTGATGGCTCCACTTTATCACTGAGGTCTCAAGTCTGAAGTCATCTCTGCAGAGACCACCTGGGTTAAAGAGCCTCCCTGGCTCTCACCACAAGTACTGTCCATCCTGTATGATGTGGCCCATGCCAATATTTATTCATTATTTATTCCAGGAGAATTGGGATCTCTCTTATCCACTGTAGTTCCCAGGACCTAGGACAATGTCTGACACAGATTAGGGACTCAAAAAATGCCTTCCCCAGTTTCAGACTGTTTGTACACATTCATTGGAAGTCAACATCTTGGAGCCTTGAAAATGCTCAGTGTTCTCTGGAATAGGCTACCTAAGAAAGACAGCACTAGGCACTAAGATTGTTCAGGGAAATAAATATCCCCAATGAAAAAAACAAGCTAAGGGTGCCAGTAGGGTTTGGGTAGACTAGGCTGGGCAGAAAAAAAAGTTCTCTATTCAAGGAGGGAGGTAGTAGCAGCAGCAAGTCCCTCCTGGGTACCAACCTGCCCACGGAGCATGGGAGAGGAAGACCCACTGACTTCCTGGGAATGAGTGCTGTGGACAGAGGGTCTAGTTCCCAGGGCTGGGCTCCCCTGGCAGAGTAGGGAGATTGGAAGAGGGATAGAAGTCCAGGCCATATGTGTGGAAGGGCAGTGCATGGGCTCCAGCAGTGATTCAGGCTAGAAGATGTGAATGGATTCATGGACAGCCCAGAGGGTGTGAGAGAGGCAGGAGAGAAGGGAATAGTGTAGGGGTGACCAGAAATGATCAAAACAGAAGGAACAGGAGAGAGGAGGCAGAATCTCTGTGTCAATGCTTTTGGGAAATTCATCTATCCATCCATACTCCTCCTCTCTTCTTCTTTCCTCCATCTCTCCCTACTTTCCTCTCTCTTTCTATCTCTTTTCTCCCCTCTTTCTGTCCATAAATCAAAGAGCCAGTCACCTGCTGGTAGTTGGAGGCAACAAGTAGTACCTAATCCAAACTCAATGAACTCACAGTCAACTTAGAGGGCAAGGGATAAGCAAGGTCACTGCTATAGCATAAGGCACCTTTCTGAAAACTTTTTAAAAGTATTTCTTATTTATGAAGAAGAAGGTGCTTTTTTCCCTTTAAGTAAAAAGGAAAAATCAATGCGTTTATACACTGTTCCACCTGAACGATGCTGTCCGGCAGCTGTGTCTCCACTTGGCAGAACTTTCTGGCACCTGTGGCTGCAGGCACACGTACATCCACCTACCACCCTGGATGCCAAGATCCTAGCCTGTCCCCTATCCCTCAGGAGGCAACTGAGTCAGGATCAGAGTCTGAATAGGGGTGCTGGGAGTAGAATTGCATCTCCCAGAGCAATGGATAGGCAAGAGAAGTGATGTAAGGAAAGCTCTGAAGTGCGATCAGGAACAGGGCACAGCTGTACAAATATAGGTGAGCCAGGCAAGTGTGTAACCGGCTGGCTGTGCCCATGGCAGGTTTATGTTGGAGGCGGCTCATGGCTGCTCTCCAAGCACGCACAGTGGTGAGGAGGTGTTCAGTTTACACAGTGAGCAGTGTGCTCTCAGATAAGTGAGTATATGTCTAGATTGCAATGGCAGTCCTTAGGTGTGGTGCCCTTGTAGTGCACAGTCTGAACATCATAATAGCCATTCTGCAGACAAGTAAAGACATTAAAAAAAATTTTTTTTAATGTTTTATTTATTTCTAGGAGAGAGAGAGAGAGACAGCATGAGCAGGGGAGGGTCAGAGAGAGAGAGGGAGTCACAGACTGAAACAGGCTCCAGGCTCTGAGCTGGCAGTCAGCACAGAGCCCGACGTGGGGCTCGAACCCACGAACCGTGAGATCATGACCTAAGCGAAAGTCAGACGCCCAACTGACTAAGCCACCCAGGCGCCCCTAAAGACATTTTAATATAAACAACAAGATGCACTAAGACAGAAGTGAGCACTACAACAAGAGGCAGAACATGCCAATAATAAGGCTCCACAGAGCCTCTTTAAATGCTCGGGGACTGCCCAAGCCCAGGGATTTCAGATTCTGTAAAGAGCACCTCCAATGGTCAGGAAAGGCTCTCTCCTCTCTCCTCCATCTACCAGCCCTGACTTGGCCCCATCTGCCTTTGTGTCTTGGTCCTGTGCCTTGCCTGGCTTGTTGGGGTGGGGTCCTGGCAACCCCCTGGCAGTCCCCTGGAAGCCCTTCAGCTCCTTGCACCACATGCATGGACAGGAAGTACGGCACATCTGCTTCTGATC